TATATATATATGTATATATGTATATATATATATATATATATATATATATATATATATATATATATATATATATATATATATATATATATATATATATATATATATATATATATATATATATGTATATATGTATATATGTATATATATATATATAAATATATATATATATATATATATATATATATATATATATATATATATATATATATATATATATATATATATATATATATATATATATATATATATATATATACACTTTGTACAGAAAGTTTAAACGCACTTGTTTTTAAAAAGTTTAGCTATGTTTAAAGTGATACAAAAAGAAAACACGAGGCAGGGTCCAGGTTTTTTATTTTTTAATATTCTTAGCCAATTATTAATTAAGAAAAAAACACAACTTTGAATAAGAAAAACATAAAATCTCTTCTGAAATTAAACAACAAACTCAAGTAATCAAAAGATTACTTAGAAGAAAGTGCAATAAAGTTTAAACGCACCTACAACTTCTTTTAATCGAAATATATTAATACGGAATTTGACTCCCGTTGTTTTTAATACATGCTTGTATTCGCCTTAGCATTGATTCGATTAAGTTTTCAATCATCTTGATTGGTATTCAAGCCACAGTTTGGTCAGTTCTTGTTTGAGCATTTCATGACTAGATATTTGCTTTTTTGTTAGTTGATAATCCATCCAGCTCCATAAATTTTCAATCGGGTTTAAGTCTGGTGATCGTGCTGGCCAAGGCATAAGTTGAATATTACTTATAAGGAAATAATCAGTGATTGAATGCGCTGTATGGCATGGAGCATTGTCTCGTTGAAATAACCAGTTTTGATCAGCCTGGAGCAAATCGCGACTAGGGATAAGCGCTTTTTCCAAAATGTCACGATACTCATACTGGTTTAATCTTCCTTCGTATATTTTATGACACCCAAGGCCTGAGCCTGATATAAATCCCCATATGCCGACGGAACCACCGCCTTTTTGAATACGGCTTAGTAGGTGTTGCTTCAAATATTTTTCTGTGTTTTTGCGACGAACAAATCTCTTGTTTTTTCTGTTAATAATTTTGAAATTTGATTCATCGCTAAAGATAATCATTTTCCATTGTTCTACTGAATAATTTAAACGCTCTTTGCACCATTTTTTTCGTCTTTGGCGATCGGTTAACGTCAACAAAGGCTTTCTTACGCAATGAAACGAATTTAATTCTTTCTTGCGTAATAACTTACTTATAATCATTCGACTAACTGTTTTGTCTGCCGGCGGACTATTGATTTCTGCGCTTAAAGTTGATACTCCCGCTTTTGGGTTACGTCTGCTTAGCATGTAAAGCATGTTTTCATCGCGTGCTGTCAGTTTTTTCAGGCGCCCAGTACGAGGATTATCATTGACACTACCAGTTGATAAATAATTTTCTATTGTTGTACGAACGCTGCATTCAGAAATATTTAGGCGTCTGCCAATTTCTCTATTGCTTTTTTTCATTTTATGCATTCCTATGACTTGCCATTTTGTTTTCGACGAAACAGCTTTTTTACCCATTAAAATATGATATTTTGACAAAGCTGTATCAGTTGAAAATTGATATGTTTTAAATCAAATCGTATTTGTGGTTTTTATTCAAAATAAAATAAGAATAAGAATAATATATATATATATATATATATATATATATATATATATATATATATATATATATATATATATATATATATATATATATATATATATATATATATATATATATATGTATATATATATATATATATACAAACATATATACATATATATATATATATATATATATATATATATATATATATATATATATATATATATATATATATATATATATATATATATATATATATCAGGGGCGGATCCAGAGGGGTTCAAAGGGTGCTCCAGCACCCGTCAACTTTTAACAAGTAAAGTTTCCTATTTCGTTGCATTTTTTTATAAATAAAAATTGAATTGTTAAAATAGTTTATTCAACTCAAAATTTGCGATTTCATTTTTTGTGAAGGAAGTCAAAAATAAATAAATAATTATCTTTGTTGTTGTGTAATACTTTGCGTTCAGCGCTTGCGTATTTTGTGTATACTTATGCTTCGACTAGGAAACTCCAGTATAGTCGCTTTTTGATTGGCCTGCTCCCCTCAGAATTATTTTTGATTGGCCTGCACCCCTCAGAAGCTATTTTTGATTGGCTTGGTTTCTTAAGCTAATCAAAACAGGTTCTGAGGGGTGCTGACCCAATCAGAAAGATATCTGAAGGGTGCAAGTTAATCACGCAAAAATCAGAAAAAAGGTTTTTTTTGTTAGATCGTAGGTTAAGTGTTCTAACATGGCGGATTCAATGCTTCGAATCATTTTAAAATGTATTTTAGATGAAAATAGGGTTCAATCAGAAAAGGAATCGTTTTTATCTAATGTTATTGTCGAAGCTCATAATAAGATTAGAGAAATATTTTTGTTTAATGAAAAATCTAAAGTAAGTATATTGAATAAAATATGCAAAGTTTCAAGTATGCAGTTTCCCGTATCTCAATCATTTCGAGCAGAAAGTGATTTTCAACCAGTGAGGTAATAAGTTGTTTCTTAAATAATTATATTAAATTAAAAAAACAAAAAACAAACGAAGTGTTTATGTATGTGTGTGTTGTGTTGATTAATGATTAAAATAATAGCAAATTAAGAAATCATATATAACCGGCTTTAAATGATTTCTTAATTTGCTATTATTTTAACCATTAATTAACACAACACACACACATATTTTTTATAGCCTACACACACAAACATTTTGTTTAGCCTATACTATAGGATATACAAAAAGCTATACTATAGCTTTTTGTGCCTAATATTTTACTACAAACTTTTTTATTTAAGCTGAAAGATGTGTAAAATTTTGTTCTAGGTGCTTAAATTTAAAAAACTTTTTTTTAAGTAAAATTGTGTTCATCCTTAAGTATATATACTTAAGCATGAACACAATTTTACTAAAAAAAAAAGTATACAAAAAAGTATATAATATCATATTTCATATAATATCATATTTCATATAATATCATATTTCAAGGAGAAAATAATCAATTATGTTATAATTTTTTTTATGTTTGAATAATACCAAATTTACATTTAGTAAATCATTTACTAGTAAGTAATTTTATGATATAAAATTATGTAATAATTATTTTGTGACATAACATAAATTATGTTGCTTCGCTTATATTAATTTTTTTTTTATTATTAGAACTTCTCCAAACGGAAACTGTTTATTTAATGCTTGTTCTATATCATTGATTAGCAACGAATCTTTGTCAGAATACCTTAGATGCCTGACCAGTATCGAATTATATACAAATGTAGGTTTTTATTTAAACCATCCAATTATTTTTTCTCAAACTGATGTTACCAAATCTCGAAGAATTGATGAAAACACAGCTTTTTCTATTATTATTTCCCAAAAAGCATATAATTCTTTTTGTAAAAATAATAAAACACTCAGTGTCATATCAGAATCTATCAATATTGCAACAAATTTTTCTTATTCCTCGTTTCTTACTTTGTGTGCTCTCTCAAGTGTTGTTGGAATACCAATTGAATCATATTATCCTATAGAAAAGGATAGAAAAGAAATAGAAAAAACTGTTTATGAAATATTGTTCAATTGCACTGTTAGACCACGTGTTGAACATTCTTTAATCACATCTGTAAAAAAAATACACATTCTTCGTTGCTCTTCAGTTATTGCAGGTTTTAAACAGACCTCTAATATATTTATAAACAAAGATCACTTTGTTCCTTTAATATCTTTAAAATGTATTCCTAAAAAATACCAAGCTCCTAATATATTTGCACCTAAAGTAGTAAAATTACCTGAAATTAATCAACTTACTTCTTCGAAATCTAGTATCCTGTTTCCTGATTCTACTCAGGAAACAGATATTTTAGATTCAGTTAAAATTCTTTCAACTTTTAAAAAAAGAAAACAACTCACAATTGATCAATTTGCTATTAAGTCACCTTTTCCTACAGACAAAAAAATTTGTGTTGTATCTTCGCCAATCAAATTAAAAAGTTCTACCACATTATCGATTGCAGAATGTTCTTCAAAATATATACACTCACCGATTAAGGCAAATTTAAACTCTAAAAGTAGTTCTTCTGCTTTTGGAAATAAATGTGAACTATCTTTTGTAAACAGATACGATATCGGGCTCTATGAAACTTATGGAATTAATAAACTAGGCAATGAAGATAAGTATGATTTACTAAAAAATGTTTATAAACTAAGCTCTAGTTTTCATTTTGAATCCAATAAATCAGGTCGTTCCTTTCAATTCTCTTGGCTCTCGTTATACTCTTGGCTTGCATATTCAGAAATTAAAAAAGGTGCTTATTGTGTTAATTGTGTTATTTTTGGATCTGAAGAATCAAGTCATAATGCAAGTAAACTTGTTCAGCTTTATAAATCTCCATTTGTGGCATATTCAAAGGCCATTAATAAGTTTAATAAACATGCTCAAAGTTCACCAATTCACCAAACTGCAACTCTAAAGGCAACTCATTTTCGTCAATGTATGGAGCAAAAGATAAATTTTATTGACTTAAATCTCAACAAAGTAATTGATAAACAAGTCAAGAAAAATAGAGAAATATTAAAACCAATAGTTCTGGCAATTATTATGTGTGGAAAACAAAACATACCTCTCCAAGGTCACAGAGATGATTCATTTTACTATGAGAATGAAAATAGTAACTCTGGCAATCTTCAATCAATTTTGAAATTAATGTCTGATTGTGCAGAAAACAGTTTGGTGAATGGGTGAATTTCTACTCCAAAAAATGCTACATATCGCTCTAAAACTACTCAAAATGAGTTGATTAATATTTGTAATGACATAATAATTTCTGAATTGAAATGTGAAGTTAAAAAGGCTAAATTTTTTTCAATATTAGCAAATGAAGCATCTGATGTGAGCAATATGGAACAAATGCCACTTGTATTACGCTTTGTAAATGATAATTCTGAAATTTGTGAACTTTTTTTTGGTTTTATTCTTTGCGACTCAGGCTTGTCTGGAGAAGCTATAGGCAGCCAAATTTTGAATAGTATTAAAGATTTGGGATTAGAAATGAAATTTTGTGTTGGTCAAGGTTATGACGGTGCTGGTAACATGGCTGGGAACTGTTCCGGTGCTGCAGTAAGAATAAAAGCTATTTATCCAAAAGCATTATATGTTCATTGTGTATCTCATGTCCTCAATCTTTGTGTTGCAAATGCCTGTAACATACAAATAGTTAGCAATATGATGTCAAATGTTCGTGTTATATCTCAGTTCTTTAATTTTAGTCCAAAGCGTTTTGATGTTCTGAAAAAAAAAATTGAAGAAATGTTTCCAAAAGCTCATCACTCTCGTTTAATAGATGTATGTCGTACAAGATGGATTGCCAGAATTGATGGTTTAGATGTGTTTATAGAGGTACTTCCTGCTATAATTAAATGCTTTGAGCTAATGATTAATAACAATGAAAAGTCTTGGAATCATGACTCAGTGCGTGATGCAAATAGTTATTTCTTTGCTACTAGATCTTTTCAGTTTCTTGTTACTTTAGTAGTGGTGTCTCGCTGTTTGGAAGTAACAAGACCAATTACAAAGCAATTTCAATCTCCAAACTTTGATGTTTTTGCATCGCATGAAAAAATAAATTTGTTACATCTTGCTTTACAGCGACTAAGATCAGACATTGAACACAGTCATGGTGCTTGGTATAGTGAGGCAGTTGTATTGGGAGCTAGTGTTGGTGTTTATGAGCACAAGCCTCGTACAATAGGAAAACAGCTTAATCGAAATAATTGTCCTAGTGAATCTATTAATGAGTATTACAAGAAAGTCATTACAATTCCTTTTCTTGACCATTTATCATCCCAGATTCAATTACGTTTTTCTAATAAAAACATTGCTGTTTATAATGGATTCTTTGCAATGCCAACTAACGTTTTAAATGTTGCTGAATGGAGAAGCAACTTTCTTCTTTTTTCAAATGAGTATGAGGATGAACTTCCGGAACCACGGTATATCATGACCGAATTGAACATGTGGGAAGATTATTGGCGTAGCTTTAAAAATTCCCTACTACTCTGATCAAACTCCTTCCTCTTATTGATAGAATAACTTTTCCTAATATATTTACCTTAATTCAAATTCTTGCAACTATTCCAGTAACAACATGCACTTGCGAAAGATCAATCTCTGTTATTCGTCGTTTAAAAACCTATCTACGATCTACTGATCCAATTTAAACTGTTTTATTTAATAATATAATATAAATATATTATTTACTGTTTTATATATTTTATTGAGTAATTTAAATAGTGGTCCTAGAAAGTTCTGAAAGTTCTAGAAAGTTTTTTTTGTATTTTTTAAGCATGAAATTATACTTCAAAAAATATATACAGTAGAATCTTGTTAAGTCTGATTCTCAAGGGAAATAGATAAATAATCAGACTTGGCGAATGTCAGAGTTAGGGGAAGCTCTCGTTATGTATAGAAAGCTCAATAGGAATTGAAAATCTGACTTAGTAAAAGTTTGAGTTATCAGACATAATTATAAAGTTTTCATTATTAATAAATTAGCAATATTGATAGTTATAGTTATAGTTTAATTATAATTAAAGTTAAATTATAACTGGATTTAAAAATAAGTCTGTTCTTACACTTTTATTTATATTTTTGGGGAATATCCTTGGAAAATAAACGGCTCCAGAATATCATGAAACTCAGAATATTTATTTTATTACTGTTACATAATTTTGTTTATAAACAGTGTTATATAATGTTACCAAATCTATTCACTATTATTGATGTATTTAGTGTAAGAGTTTATTATTATTGTTATTATTTTTGTTATAATTTATAAATAATTATCGTGTATAATTATATATTTTATATATCATAGTATTAATTATTTTTAATAGTGAGTTTTAATACAAATGTGTTATAATTGCAATATAATGTGCATGACACAGGTGTTTTTAGAAGTTAAACTAGATGGTTACTTGTTTTATTTTCAAGTTTCTGTTTAAAGATCATATTAGAAGCAAATTTTGAGTTCCATTGAAACTAGATTTTTATTAACAGTTTTTTTTATCAGTTCTTCATTTTGTAACTATTTTACTATTTTATTTTAGTTTTCCTACTGTTGAAATATGGTTTTAATTTAGTAATGTTTCATGATTTGAAATTTACTTTATTGGTCATAAGCTAACAGTTTAGAAAAGGAAATTTAGCACAGTTAGGGTAAGAAATTTGTTTACTTTTAACATTTCAAAACTGGGTTTTACTGTTCAATTCTTATGCTATTCCTAGTTTATGTTAAATGTCATACGAATAATAAACAAATTGTGTGTTCATTGTTTGGGGTCATGAAATTATTGTATCATTATTGATTGATTCTTTATATAACGGTCGATCACTGCCAATATATAGTTGCTGCATTACTTTGCATACAAAATATTTTTATGTACACAAAATTACTTTCGCACTGTACTCTAATAAATAGGAGGGTCGGAAATTTTTCTAAATTATAATAAACGGGGGAGAGGGGGTTTCTTAATAAACCGAAGGGTCGGAATTTTAAAAAGCTTAAAATAGTTTTTTTGGTTGGTTATTCATATTTTCATCTATTATTGAGAGAAATATTTTTCTCAAATTAAAAAAATAGCAAAAATATTTTATATTGTTTCAAATTATTAATCAAGGAGGGGGGGATTGGGATCCTAATAAGTTCCGGGAGGTCGGAAAAAAATTCCCCTCCCCGTACTTTATAAAAACCTTTTTTACAACCAACTCCTTTCATGCAACGCAAAGCGCGGGGGGGGGGGGTAATGAAAACACCCCCTCATCGTCGCAGCACAACACATATTTGCCAGCACCCTTCGAAAAAAAAGCTAGATCCGCCCCTGTATATATATATATATATATATTTATATATATGTAATTGTCGTCCCTTTAAGTAATAAATGTTTTAACATGGTTTTTAATGAGGCTTAAGTTCGAACTTTTTTCTTATAAAAGTTCAAACGTTATGGATAAACCAAAACGAACAACTTTATTTATATACCTCGATAGTTCTAAATGGAATTTAACGGTTTTTTAATTTTTACTTTTTATACAGTTTTCATGGATGCACCCTAAAATAATCGCACTTAATTCTAACTACATCGAAATAAAAATAAGAGAGTCATTTGAGATTAATTATGCCCTTACGAAATACAAGATAAGACACTTGCCACCTCTTTTGAACAAGGATAATGGTGTTAAAATAGTGTCAAATAGCTCAAGACCTCTTTTTAAAATACGAATAAAATTTAAATTTTTTTTATCTTACGTCAGCTTATCTTTATAATGTCTTCTTAACAGTTTTTTACAGACGGCTTTTTGCGAAATTGTTATTGTATTTTGTTTTACGTCTAACAAAGGTATGAGCTAATTAGACTAATATTACATAAATATATTGAAAACTAGTACTTAGACAAATAATTTATCAAGTACTAAAAGTAATGAAACTAAAACAATATTGAATTTTAAATTATTCAGTGCAGAAATTTCCAAAATGGCGGACGCTATGAAAGAAAGAAAAGGTTTAATGAAAGTTTTTAAGCGAAATAAATAAAATAAAAACAAAGAGAGTGAAAAAATGAGAAAGAAAGAAATTAGAAAATAAAAAAATAAACAGTCTTTTATTACAAGGTTTTCGCAGATCGCGGATGTGTAACGGAAAATAAAAAAAAAGAAAGGAAAAAAAAACAAAATTGTGTTGTATTTAATTTAACTTTTTTTTCCTTTTTTTTTCCTTTTTTAGCTTATTCGTTTCCTTTTCTTTTTTCTTTTTTTTTTATTACTTATATATTTTTCACTTATACATATTATAAATTATTATTAGTTTTATTATTGTACTTTTTATTATTGAGCGTTGATTATAATTACAGTATTCATATTTTTATTTTTATTACATATTGCTACTGCTGCTATTTGTATTACTTTCACTATTGTTATTATTGTCGTGATTATTATTATTATTGTATTTATTATTTTATTATAAGTGTTTATTAGTATTCGTATTGCCAATATTATTATTTTAGTTATCGCCATTTTTGCATTTTAGTATATTCTTTACTGCTATTTTATTGTTGTTTAAGGTTGTAAAACTTGTAATAAACGTATTCGTACTAATCATTTTTCGTTTCAATGTAAACACTGTTTAAATTCATTCCATAATAAATGTTCTCTGGATAAAATTGATTTTAGATCATCAATAAACTCTTCCATCAGTTTTTGACTTTGTATAACATGCCACATTAGTATCTTTCTTTTTTGTTCTATATCGGATAATGAGCTTCGCCTTCAATCGTCAATTGATAGTACACTACATCTCAATGAACTTCCAAATGACCTTTCATTCTTTCCTACCTCTCTAGAATCTAATATTTTCAATCAACTTAATAACTTTTTCTCGTATCAACTAAATAATAACGACGATGATGATACAAACGTAGTTGACATTCCAATTAGTTGTAAATATATAGATATTAAAAATTTTAACTCTTCAAAAATAACAAATAATTGTTTTTCTCTTCTTTATTTGAACATTGCTTCATTAGTTAAACATTTTGATGAATTAAATTTACTTCTTCACCTATTTAGTTATGAATTCAGCGTTATCTGAATAACGGAATCCAAGCTGAAATATGATTTACTACCGACAATTCGTATAAATCTTAATGGATATGTTTATGAACATACTCCAACCGAAACATCATTTGAAGGAGCTTTAATTTATATTTCTGAAAAACTAATTTATAAACCTGGAAATGATTTACTTAAGTATAAACCCCAATTCCTAGAGCCAGTGTTTGTTGAAATCATCTTCCGTAAAAAATCTAATATCATAGTAGGATGTATCTATCGCCATCCTAATATGGATATTGATGAATTTAATTTTTCATATCTAGCTGTTTTATTTGAAAAACTTTCCTTTGAGAAGAATAAAACACTCTTTTTAATGGGTAACTTTAATATAGATCTTATTAAAGCAAACTCAGATAGTTCCATTGCGGAGTATTTAAACACCATTGCCTCTAACAACTTTCTTCCTTTTAAATCTTTACCGACAAGAATTACAAATCACTCAAGGACTTTAATTGATAATATATTTTCTAACTCAATTTCTAAAGATATTTTATCCGGCAACTATCAGAATATCGGATCATTTTCTCCGGATGATATAAAGATATTTTCTCCGGCAACTATCAGAATATCAGATCATTTGCCACAGTTTCTAATTTATTCAACTTTTAAAAACAAAAAAAAATTATTTTCCTAAAAGCAATATTTTCCTTCGAAATTTCAAGAAACTTAATAGTAATCAATTCAAAAACGATTTCTTACAGATAAACTGGGATAAAGAAATTAATTTTTTAAATGGTAATACAAACAAATTATATGAAGACTTTTTCCGTAGCTTTAACTCTTTTAGACAAACACGCACCACTAAAAAAACTAAGTAATCGTGGCTTAACTCGGAGCCTTTAAACCATGAATTACTCCAGCAATCTTGACCTCAATAAAAAACAAAATATGATATTTTAAAAATTTCTCGAAACAAAAAATCTACTTTTTAAACTAAAACAAAACCTATAGAAATTTACTTGTAACACTTATTCGACGCAGCAAATAAAACCATTTTTCCAATTATTTTTCTACTAACAGCAATGATTTGAGGGTTACGCGAAAGGGCATTAGAAAGCTTTTGAATATTTGTTCGGAAAATATCTCATACCCATCTTGTATATCTTCAAATAAGACCATTATACATGATCCAAACAAAATATCGGAAAAATTCAACTCTTTCTTCATTTCAAAATTGCAAATTGATAATGAAGAAAGAGTTGAATTTTTTAAAAATGGGATAAGTGAATGTTTCATTGCGAATTGCAAAAAAACATTCACTTATCCCATACTAACTTCTATAACTATTTAAAAACACCAAACACTGAATCTATATTCATTAAACTTACTGATGAAAGTGAAACTTTATCTATTATTCTTTGTCTAAATGATGACAAGGCTTCTAGTCCATACAG